CTGTTTCCTTGGGATAGGCCAAAGACTGGCGGCAGAGCTGAGCCCCCCACATTTTTGTTGTTTTTTTTTTTTTTTTTGCTTGTCATGGGGGACAGATGAAGAGGAGGAAAAGAGGAAAAATCTATTCTGAGCAGGTACAATCTATAGCAGGTGGATCTGGGATCCAGGAGCAGTTTGGCTGCAGAAGGGTTGTCTCCCTGCCTACAGTTGCTCTCCTGGCAGCATCTGTGTTTTACCTTCTCCCACCCTGTGGAACTGGAGCTGTGCATCTTGAAGAACTGATGTGTAAAAAAAAAAAATAATAATAATAATGTGATCAAATACTCCCCTGGTGTCTGGAATGGGAAACAAGCAATTAAAGGAGGCCTTTTGTAATAACGACAAGGGGCTTGCTTCTTCTGCAGGAGAGACGGGGCAGAAGAGGCAGCTCTGCAGGGTTGGGGGGGATCATGTGTGAGCCTGGCTGCAGGGACAGGCTGCAACTGGGGGTCTTCTCACACACCTGGCAAGCTGTCCTGCCAGGGTTGGCTGCGGTGCGGTGCATTAGTTTGGCACAAGCACATGACCAGATTTGGGCAAAATGAAGTGGCTATGACCAAGGAGGAGGTGGGAGTGTTCGAAGCCGGGTGACGGTGTGGGGTGTTGGGTGGGCAGCTGCGGTGCCGCAGCGTTCGAGCGGGAGGTGCTGGGCGTCACCGTGAGCCTGCAGTAATGGGCTGGGGGGGTCCGGAGGCAGCTCAGAGCAGGTTCCCCGTTAACACCCAGAGCGCACCAGCTCTCCCAGGGTTGCAGGGCTTTGTCTGGGTTTCCCCTATTCCTAGAGGAGGACGTGCGGGACCCAAATTAGATCCCCCTCCCTTTTTGCTGCACATGTGGGAGACCTGCTCATGGGTTTAAAGGAGAGGCCCCCACAAAGCCCCAGCACCTGGTGTTGCCTCCCCAACCCACTGCAGGGAAATGGCAGAGATTTCTCCCATTTGCCTTACCCAGCTTGTTGCTGTGAGCAGCAGCAAGTTCAGGAGCGGGAAAGGGTCAAACCCAAGCAAGGAAAGGAGCCCAGACCCTCACAGAGGTGCTCTGAGCTCCTGTTCACTAACAGGAGCCCTGCTTGACTGCGGTCAGCAACCTGCTGGTGCCCACAGAACATGCTTCTTGCAGGGGAGACCCTCTTGCTCCCGTACAGAGCCCCAGAAGGTGGCATCAAGCCAACGCTGCGTCTGACAAAGCCCCATGTGCAGAAGTGCAACAGCAGGAAAATGTATTTGGCAAACACCTCTTTTCACAAACAGCAGCAACTTGGAAGACAAAGCCCCGTCCTCGTCACCAGCCCCGGAGAGAGGGAGTCACGACACCCTCGCCGCTGTCTGCCACCCCGCAGCGAAGGCACGGTCCTCACCCCTCCCGGCCCCGGCAGGAACCACAGTGCTGGCCCGTGCTCCGAGCTGGCCCCGGAGAGACCTTCTCCCACTGCCGGCTGCCCTCATCTCATGGCAAAGGTGTAGACGTGGTAGATCTCATCGGGGAAGTTCTCCTGGCGCTCCTCGGCCAGGAGGTGCAGCCCAGCTCGGCGGATGATCTTACGGACCACGTCCAGGTCCCGGCAGACGCTGCTGTCCACATCGTCCATGATCACACCCTCCTGAGCCATGTTGTCCTTGATGACCACAATGCCATTGGGCCGCAGGCCGGCACGGCACCGCTTCAGGAAGTCAGAGAGGTGATTGTCGGTGAGGTGTCCTGGAGGGGGAGAGCGGGTGTTAGTCACGGGGTGACTGCGGCAGGACCCTAGGCAGCACGTGATACGAGGGGAGGAGACCGGGAGACTGCAGTTGGGATCCCTCCTCATCCAGGCAGCCAAATACTTGAGCCATTTGCAGGTGAAAGCTTTAGCTGCGGGGTGTCCAATTTGTCCCCCACGGGCTCCATCCAACTCACACCTCTGCCCTGGCCTCCGAGGGCTTGGGGGAAAAGACCCCATGGTGCAATGCCCTTGCAGCGCCCAAGGAGGGCAGGTCCCCAACCCAGCCTCCCACCCATACTGTGATGCTCATCCTTAACGCAGACCTCAAGCTCTCTTGCCCAAAGCTCTCCCCAGTGCCTGGGGCACCTGCCCCTGGGGGAAGCTGGACAGAAGACAGGCTGGTAAGACCCCCCGTGAGCCGAGCAACCCTCACCGATGACCCACTGGATCCAGATGACATCGTAGGAGTTTGGCTCGGGGCTGAAGTCCTGGAGGCCGCAGCAGAAGTAGTTGCGCACCCGCCTGCCCTCCTCTCCCAGGTAGCTCTTGGCCTTGGTGAGGAAGTCCTCCGTCACGTCCACCATGTCCACCGTCTTGAAGCAGCCGCTTGGTGATCCGGCCGATGCCCGCCCCGCAGTCCAGAGCACGGGTTGTCCCCGTCCGGTTGGGGCCATCCTGGAACAACAACCATGAGGGGCTAAATTCCCCTGCGAGGTACCCACAGAGGAGAAATGGGGCAACCATGTGGGATGGGGTATAGGGGACCCACTGCAGGGCAAAGCTCTCCCAGCATGCACGCAACGGAGGATCCCACAGAGCAACTCGGAGGGAAGAGCCCAGCTCCGTGCTGGGAGAAGGATGGGGCTTTGGGAGCATGACAGACTGTGCCACCTACCCGCAGAAACCTCTGCAGGAACTTTCTGGAGCTGTTGATGTCGATGCTGGAGATGTGGCCGTAGCCCCCCAGCATGCCGTCCACCGTGGCGGGCACGTCCTTCCAGTACTTCTCCGCCTTGGAGTAAAACTCAAACTCGTTCTCCACCACCTCGCTCGTCATGCTGGCCGAGAGGCACGTGCCCACACGGGACTTGCTGCTCCTCCGAGACAGGGGAGAAACCACTGGTCAGGTCCAAGGGAGCCACAGGCACAAAGGTCCCCCAAAGTGGGGAGGCAGGCGTCAGCTCTGTGAGTACCCCAATTTCTATTTATCACCCCTTCCCCCTTCCCAGGGCTTTTTCAAAGCTGAAAAACCTTCTGGCGAGAGCAAAAAGAAGCAAAGATCTAAATCCTGGTATTTTCAGGAGACCAACAAGCCCAAAACCTCTTCCCAGGCAGGGATGCCTCAGCTAGACCAGGTATCCCAGAGCCTTGCTCAGCAATACACCCAATTATATTTTTTTTTTTTTTTTTTAAAATTTATTTTTAAGGCTGACTCACCCTTTTCACCTATTCTGCCTCCTCTCTCCCTGTCTTAAGAGCATTAACATTTTACAGATTACATGTTTATCTGTGGCGACAGCCCCATCAGTCACCTCCAATTACATCTGGAGTTGCTAAAAGTTATCCTGAGCGCCTACCTGAGAACTGTAAATCTCAGCTGTGACCATAAGTTAGATATTTGCAATATAATAAAGTCAAGGTATAATCAGCAATACAAGCTATAAATCCCCCCCAGACATCTCATAATTCAAACCACTGCAGATTTGATTAACTGCGCTGGGGATTAGAAACTAGATTTAAAGTGGCCAAAGGGTAAATTCAAGAACTTCAAACACCTTTACAAATAAAGAAATATATAGTGTTCCTGGCTTGAATTTGCTGGCAAATATCCCATTAGACACAAAACCTTTTCTATGGCCCCCTGCTCAGGCAGTTTCGGTGGCCCTGCGTGGTCTTGAACGGCCTGGGGACAGAGCAGGGGGACGCAGCATCTCACCTTACAGATCACCGGTTGAAATCCAGTTTGGCTAGGTGGTGCCAGGAGCCGGTCTGCGCTGTGATCTAGGGGGAGAAAAGACAGGATTTTAGTCCTAAATCACCCCTTTAGTCCTGCAAGTGTGAGCGAGGCCGACGGCAGCCCCAGCAAGCCGGAGGTAAGAGCCACCCCGACCCCACAGGCACCCT